CTCTTTAACCCATGGTTTTTGCACCACTCCCAATGATCTCCTTCAGGAAGGTATTATAGTGCCTTAGTACTTTAAGGAGCTGATTACTGCTGTTAATTCTAATTAGAAACTTATGACAACATCTCATTTGAAGACCAAAGCTCCACTGGGAACTGCAGGAATGTAATTCTAGCCCCCAGGATAGCATCCAGGAGAACAGGAACTTTGGCCAGGTATAGGCTGAAACTGCATTGTAAACTTCTCAGAGAGAAGCACTATGCTTTCATTAGGAAAAAATGCCAATGGAAGCAGAACTGTTGGCAAAAGGACTTCACAAGCAGTAATGCAAGCAAATGCAGAATCAGGACTCTGGCAGCTCGTTGATAGATTACTGATCTACATATGCAGACTTGTCAGAACGCTAGTCCTAGCTAGAACAAAACCACGGAGTCTTTGTCTTCTGACTTCAACCTCGAAGGCAGATTAAGAACTGGGAGTCTTAAACAAAATAGACTGTAAATAATGTGGAATGAGCTGAAGTGAACTGGAAAAATCCATATCAAATGATTCAGGCTAAAGCACAAAATAAGATGGTAGATTTAAACACAAATACACCATTAATTAAAATAAATACAAACGGGCTAAATGCTCCAGTTAAGAGAACTCCTTTCCATGAGTAAGAAGACACAATGTAAAAGAAAAATGTGGGTGAGCTGGTTATGTGTGCCCCAAACCCTAGCAGGATGGAGAAAGAGAAGAAAGGGGATTGTGGGGCAATCACGCCCCATGTGGGGAGGTGCTTTCAGGCAAAATGATTGGAAGAGACCTCCCACCAAAGACTATCTAGATGGATTACCCAGAAAGTACATGAAAAAATACTAGACTTCAATTAGTAATCAAGAAAATAAAAATAAAACCATGCCTCTCTTCAGACCAGCAAAAAAGTGAAAAAGAAAAAAAAAAAAGGACAAAGTATTAGCAAGCATGTGGCCATTGAAAACCCTCATATACAACTAATAAGAATGTAATATGAGACAACCAATTTTTGAAAGAGCTTGCTATTGTCTAGTAAAACTGAGAGAGTAAGCAGGTTTTATGATTCAGCAAATCTAATCCTGGCTTTTACATACCCCAAGTTATATGCACATGTGCATGTGTACCAGATAACATGTCTGAAAGGTTCATATTAGTATTATCTCTAATAATCTTTTCTGTTTTAAGGTTTTTGCCATATGGAGTGTGTGTTTGCTGGAGAGAGTCCGAGAGAGAAGGGCAGAAAGAGACAGTGAAAGAGAAAGTGAGAAATCACCCCCTGGGTGGAAGGTCATGCTGCAATCCCTTCTCCTCCATTCTCCTTCTGGGACTTTGGGCACACAGGCACACACATGCACCTGGAATGAGTTTCAAGCCACCAGGTCTTGAACTCGAACCATAGTCAGCCATGTGGTAGTCCAGCATCTTAACCACCATGCCACCTGCTGGCCCCTTGTCCCTAATATTCTAAAATCAGAAACAACTCAAGTGTTGATCAACAGTAGAATAAATAAAGTCATCCAATGAAATTTAAATAGCAATAAAAAGAGACATACCTGGAACCAGCAGATGGCATAATGGTTACATTGCTGGACTCCCACATAGTCAACCACAGTACAATTCCCAGACCCAGTGACTTAAAACTCAAGCCAGGCACATGTGCATACGTGCCCAAATCCCAAGAGGAGAATGAAGGAGAAGGAATTGTGGCATGGCCATCCCCCATGGGGGTGATTTCTCACTTTCTGTCTCTCTGTCTCTCCCACAAGTACAGGTACCCTATAACAAAAATATCTCTCTTAAAAAAAAAAAAGAAAGAAAGACACACCCAACAGCGTGGGTAACATAATAATGAATTAAAGAAGTAAGACCTGAAAGAACACAGATAGTATGATCCCACTCACATCAAGTTCAAAACAGGCAAAACTAAACCATAATGCTTAGGGTGACATATATAGGCAATAGAACTATAAGGAAAATCACAAAGATGATTATCCTCAAGTCAGGAGAACGAAGGAGGGCTTGAATGTGAGGAACTGAAAGATTTCTGGATGCTTTCCAGATTCTATTTCTTGACTCTGATGATAGTTTTATGGGATTTATGAAATCACATTTGTTATTAATTTTTAAGTTGTACAATAGATAATTAGTTGTACAATAGGTAATTTGGGTATCTACATTATATGTCATGATAAAACAAAAATGAAAAGAAAAAAAAAAAAAGAAAGACATGTTGAACAAGTCTAAAATAAAAACAAAGCCATATTTGGAACTCTCTGAATTCATCTCTGAATCCTGACAGTGACCAGTCATTCAAGTGCCATTTAGAAGGATTCCTATGGAGCCGAATAAGATCAGAATTAGACCCAACGAGTAGGTAAATAGGGTAGGGACCCCAGAGGAAGACTCACTATGATAGGAAATGGACACACACATATATTAAGATAGAGCCGACTTATAAAATGGAGTCATTGTGGTTTTGAGAAGGGTCGTTCATGCTCTCACTACAAACGGAGCAGTAGCTCTGACTGCTTGCTCACACAGAGAGCTGCTCACAAGAGAGCTGTTTTACAGCTTGCTTGATCAATCGCAGCCTACCAGGAAATGCAACCAGACCCTCTTTGAAGATTCCTTCCTCCCACCCTTCCCATCTGGTTCCTGGTACCAGAAGGTAGTTACCTTCCTTCTGCTGTCCCAGATGTACACACAGAAATCCACCACTGGGATGGGACACTAAGTCAGCATCCAGATATGGATCCTCATTCCTACAAAGACCATCCTGGGCATATGTGATGAGATCATTAAAGTCGTCACTTGAGAGAGATAGGCAAGCACAGGAAAAAGCCCAGGAAGCCAAAGAAGCCAGCTACTATGACAGACCTTCCCCTGCTAAACAGTCATTACCAACCCCCAGGATAAAAGTAATACCTAACCTCATGCCCAAGGCAGTTGTCCTCGGGCAGCTGCCCACCCACATACATGGAGGTATATTTCCTCCATATTAGAAAGCTTTACTTTTCTATTAAAACCTCTCTTACCCTACCTTACTAGTGTTTGTGGTTTTTCTTTTTTTCTTCTTTTTAGAATTATTTTATTTAACTTTATTTATGTATTTTAATTTGACCAGAGAAGTTGGGGTGTGTGGGCCCAACACCAAGTGCAGGAAAAGCAGTGAACTCAGTTCCTTGTGCCACGCACACAAAGAATTAGAGACATGGACAAAAAGAAGAAATAGTGAAATGGAGAGTTTATTAAAAGAGGGAAAGATCAGCGCTCCGAGGCAGGGAGTGTGTCCTAGAAAAAGGGTTGCCAATGGAAAACTGAGGTGAGGGACGTTTTTCTGTGTCAGAGGGGCTTTGTTTGAGCTTCTTGCTTTCATTTAGGCTTGTTTAGTCTCTGAGAATCTGACTTATTGTGAGAAGAGAGAAGTGCCTTGGGACCAGCAGATGGCGTAATGGCTATGTCACTGGACTTTGATGTAGTTGACTGCGGTTCAAGTCCTGGACCCAGTGGCTTAAACTCACGTCAGGAGAGAGAGAGGGGGAAAGTGAGAAAACATTTGCCAGGTTCAGGACTTGAACCGTGGTCAGCCATGTGGGAGTTCAGCCCTTAACCACCACTCCACCTGCCAGTCCCTGTATTTTTTCATTCTGCATCTCAGGACAGGTCTCTTAGAGATCTGGACTGAAGGAACCTAGGATCTTAGAACATGCAGCCGAACTCCCTCATCCTATAGCAGCACTTCCTGCAGGCAACACATTCCCTGCAGCACCAAGTTGTCAGTGGGCTGGCATGTCTCCTCACGATGATAGCCAGTCCTTCTGCAAGCCACTTTTTTTTTTTTTGAGAGGTTTTTTTTTTAGACCATGCGGAAGAGACAGAAATAGAGAAATCACCCCCCCACACCCCCCGGGAAGATGGCCACGCTGCAATCCCTTCTCCTCCATTCTCCTCTCAGGATCTTGGGCATGCACGCATACATGCCTGACGTGAGTTTAAGACACTGGGTCCGGGACTTGAACCACAGTCAACTACATGGGAATCCAGCAACACAGCCATTATCCCATCTGCTGGTCCCAAGCTATTTCTCTCTTCTCACAATAAGTCAGATTCTCAGAGACTAAACAAGACTAAATGAAAGCAAGAAGCTCAAACAAAGCCCCTCTGACACAGAAAAACGTCCCTCACCTCAGTTTTCCATTGGCAACCCTTTTTCTAGGACACACTCCCTGCCTCGGAGCGCTGATCTTTCCCTCTTTTAATAAACTCTCCATTTCACTATTTCTTCTTTTTGTCCATGTCTCTAATTCTTTGTGTGCGTGGCACAAGGAACTGAGTTCACTGCTTTTCCTGCACTTGGTGTTGGGCCCACACACCCCAACTTCTCTGGTCAAATTAAAATACATAAATAAAGTTAAATAAAATAATTCTAAAAAGAAGAAAAAAAGAAAAACCACAAACACACTGAGTTCGCTGCTTTTCCTGCACTTGGTATTGGGCCCACACACCCCAACTTCTTGCATCCTAATTTTTGTGCATCACTAAGACATAAATATGGAAGAAGGACAAGAAAACAAGAGATCAAAGAAGATGACAGAAAGAAAGAGCTACCCTTACCCTGTATGAGTAGAGGAGAAAGTTGTATTCAGGGGTTTATTGACACCTGGAACTCCCAACACTGAAAAGCAACCATCTTTCCCCCTTAATTACTGCTTCAAGACTTACCCTGAAAACATTTTCCCCTGTAAAATCTTCCTTGGTTGACAGGTAGTCTCAAGCATCTCTCTGCATCTTGTATTTACCTCCATCAGCACTTTGCTTGCCATGCTGTAACGGTTGGCCTTCCCAAGCGATATCTTCAAAGGCCATGAGTCATGTTCTAATCTCTTCCTATCCTCTCCTTTCCACCTGCACCAGGCCAGTGCCTGACAAGTGGGACACTCGGCTGATGCTTGTTGAATGACCGAATGAGCGAGAGAATGCTTTACCTTCAGCTGCAGTTCCTTGTATCTCTTGGACATCCGAATGAGCACCTTCTCACCATTGATCACGGCAGATTTTTCTTGATAATACTGGACCATCGCCTGGGCAGCTTCTGTGTAAGCCATCTCTAAAAAGGCCTAGGAAGGAAAGGAGGGCCAGTCATTGAATTTGACTTTAATGGTCTTAAACAAAATTCAGTACAAGGTATGACTGTCCATGTATATGAAGTTCAAGACCAGGCAAAACTAACGGATGGAAACAGAAATTAGAGTTGAGCTTCTCTCTGGGGTGGGGAGTGAGGTACTGACTGGGGAGGGGACTGAGGAAACCTTCTGATGTCCTGAAAATGTTCTATCTCTTGTCTTGGGTATTAATTACACGGGTGTACACATATAAAAAAATGAATGGAGTTGTACACTTAAGACGAGTGAACTATTCATTTTAGTGTATGTATTTTATACCTCAATAAAAAGGGGAAAAATCAGTTACAAACAAGAGCTCCGTTTGATCTCATCTGTTCAAAGAGACCTTTTTATTAACTTCACCAAAAGAACTCATTATAAGATGACCCCCCCTTTATGATCCCCATGGTTACCAACCATTATTCTTAATTATGTATGTCCATCCTGGACTGTGTCGGGCCATGGAAGCCCCTCTGGGATGGGAGGGTCCATTACCCACAGTTCTCAGGGGAGTTGGCACATATGGGCCGATCCCTTCAAAACTTGCTGCTTGGGGCGGTGACAGCAGGAGACAGAGGCACAGGCCCTGGTTATTTGAGCTCTCACTTTCCTAGTAAAAAAAGGTGTATACTTTCAAGACTGGTGCTCACAAGCCCTAGGCTTGAAGGTTGTGAGGTAGAGAGAAGAAAACCCTGAGGTTTCCACAGCCTCTTTTCTGGTCAAACACATGCAGGGGAACGGGCTTGTCCATTCAGCCTGCCTCTATAGAGCTGCTAAGTAGACTGTTCTGACTGACCCCAGTAGCTGCTGTGGTGAATCACGGCTGTAATGTTGATTTGTTCGGTTTGCACTATACATCGATGTACTGATTCTGGTCCCTCTATGAAGAGAGGGAAAAGTGCTTTGTGATAACGGGGTCTCTTACTGTGAGCCCCTAACTCTCCCGTTCCATTGAACTTAATGGGCTAAACCAGCCTTTACCCTTCCATCTTTCTCATTTGCTTTTGAATTTCAGATCTATGGCTTTTCTCCACGCTGTCCCAGTCCATGGCACAGACGACTAAGAAGTCAGGGCTCCATAGGGTTTTATCTCAAATTCTGCCACTCGGCTTTTTATCCGCCTCTTTATATATATATATATATATATAAACATTTATTAACACTTCTAGCACTCACCTATCAAATGGAAATAATACCAACCTAGGGACTCTCACTGCACTTACGTTGTAAGCTGGATTTTGTACATTTACCCAAAATGGAATTTCTGAGAAGAAGGAAAGGGAGACAAAGGAAGTGGAGTATCCACAGGTTGAAGAAGGAGACCACTGATAATCTGATGTGGCTTTGAGTCTATGCTGTTTACACCTTAATTCAGAAAAGACTTTCTCCTACATAAAAATATTTATTAAAATAAAGGACCAGCTATTCTGACCACTTGCTGTTTAAACTCCCTCATTGACTTTAAAAATGAAAACAAACATAACCAGTCCCAAAAGGCTCAGTTGATTCCCACAAGATAAGGATTCTTAGTTCTTAGACTTACAAGGCATCCCACAATTCCTACTGACCCTCCAGCTATGAGACTCCAGGACCTCACACTGACACACAGGACCAGTGAAAATATTTGTTCCTAATCAGTTCTTGGCTGGGTCCAAAGCCAGGCCATCAGATATGATAAGCTTAGAAGAGGAGACTACAGCATTAGCTCAGGGGTTGGCGACACAGCCGATCCTCCGTGGATTTCTGTTTTGGGGCCAATTAGCTTTATCTATGTGAATGAGCACCTCATTCCACAGTATCTCCCTCCACCTCCAGGCAATACTGTCCCTACCACAAGAAGGAAAGGATGAAACAAGGGAAACAAAATAGCAACACCAACAAAAGTGCCAACAGAAGGCCACCTGTGTATCACCTCTGTAAGTCAAGAACAGCTTTTTAAAAAGAAATCACGTAGCCCCCTGTCACCTATGTGTGGTCTGTACACACTAGAGTGACAGTGCCCAGACCTACCTGATTAGTTGACTTCATGAGGATGTAATTAGTGACCTTTCCAAAGGGCAGCCCCAGGTTAATGACATCGTTCTCAGTGCAGCTTCCTTCAGGGAGATTGCAGATGTGCACCACGCGGCCAGCACCCTTCCGCTGTGCAAACTAATGGGAATGAAAGCAGTGGTTGGTCTTCAAAAGGCATTCCTCCTCTTCCCCTTTATTCCAGAAATCCCTAATGAGTAGTTTTCCTCAAGTAATGATTGTAAAACTATAATGTACAAAATTAATGCAGATTTAAGAAAGTCAACCTGAGACATACATAAAATATCAATTTTATACCATCTCTTTACAAAAAAGAATCCTTGACATTTTACTTTATTATATGTTTTGTGTTTTAGTCTGCTATAGGGTGCATACACTCGCCAAAGAGAGACAGAAAGAGGGAGAGAGAAAATGAGAAACACCCTATAGAGGGGATGACCATGCTGCAATCTCTCCTCCTCTATTCTCTTCTTAGGACTTTGGGCACGCAGGCACACCTGCCTAGCATGTTCTTTAAGCCACCAGGTCCAGGACTTGAACCACACAGTCAACTCTGTGGGATCTAGCTGCCTTAATCACCATGCTACCTGGCTGGCCTGATCCTCAACCCTTTAAATGAGCAATAACACTCAGGGTGGTGTGGGAGATGAGGAAATGGGCATGTCTATATGTTGCTGGTGCGAGTTTAATATCTACAACCTTTAGAGAATATACTTTAGCAATATTAAATAAAACTTAGTATAGTTAGCTCATGACCCGCCATCCCACTTTAGGCAGGATCTAACCCACTGAAAGAAGAGTACCAATATGTAAAGTCTCATGTACAAGGACATTTATCGCAGTCATTGGGAAAAAAAAATAGGAAATAGACTAAAGGTCCAACAATAGGTGAATGTTCGAGTAAATGATAATTCAAGCACAGCTGGAAAGCTACATCGACACTGAAAGGAAGCCAATGTACTGTTATGAAATAATTTATTTTAGCTAGAGGGCACATGCACTTATCAGAGAGAGCCAGAGAGACACAGAGAGAGGAAGAGGAGAAAGCACCCCTGATGGAGCATGGTCACGCGACAATCCCTTCTCTTCCATCTCTCCCTCCTTTTGGGATTTTGGACACACACACACACACACACACACATCCACCCTGTGTGTTTCTCAAGCTGTCAGTTTCCGGACCCAAACCTGTCGGCCATGTGGATTCCAGCTCCTTTAACCAACAGGCCATGGAGCCAGCCCACAAAATAATTTTTAGAACAAATCATTACATAAAAAACAGGTGCTAAATAGAATGTGTACTATGATGCCATGTATGAAAAATGAAAGAAAAATATGATAAAGCGATAGATCAAAATGAGTGGTATAAAATATTTGATAAAGAACTTGAGTAATGGGCATATTGGTACACAGGAGTTCATTATGAGAGTGTGCACCATGTTATGTGTTTGAAATTTTTCACAATAGAAAATTCTTTTTTTAAAATAACTATTTTATTTAACTTCATTTATTTATTTATTTTAATTTGACCAGAGAGAGACAGAGGAAGAGAGTGAGAGAGAGAGAGAGGGAAAGTGAGAAAGCAAGGCGCCAGGTCCGGACTCGAACCACAGACAGCCCTGTGGGAGTCCAGCGTCCTCAACCCTCATGCCATCTGCTGGCCCCTAGAATAGAAAATTCTTAAAAGATACCAGCACAGAGAATAGTGTGGAGCATGTAAATAAACCTCCCTACTAGGTAGGTAGATAGCCTGGTCTTCTTCCAAGGAATAGAACGGGAAGCAAGTAAAGGAGAAACGTGGAACCTTTTTCATACATCCCTCATATTGTGTGACTTACCAAAAAAAAAAAAAAAGAACATAGAAAGGTTGTGGGTACCTAATGCACTGACATTGGAGGCAACAACCTGCTGTTTAGAGATAGTTTTCAAAACTTTTTTAGTCTCAGAAGCCTTTCTTTGAATATCTGCTTGCTCAACAGCCCATTGTATTCAACAAACAAAAGAGGAGGTATTCTCAACAAACGTGGGGTCTAGCCCTCAGCTGCCTCCTCCACCCAGCAGTCCCAAAGGAACGCAGTTTGGAAGCTGAGACCTGGGTCTAATCAACTCTGCTGGAGGGAGGAAATGTGTCTATTTGGTCTTCAAACCTTAACCAGCCTGGACTCTCCGGGAGACTGAAAAATTAGTAACTGTAAGTCAACCCACCGTGGAAGAGCAGGATGCAATTTCCAAACCTGAAACACGTCCTAATAGCCTACATTTGCATAATCGCCATCTCCTATGATTAGATGGACTACAGTCTCTCATTACATCCCGTGTGGGTCCAATTCTGCTAAGGAAACATGGGGGCAAGTCTAAGGTCTCATCCCAACCGGGGCTACTACCTGGGTCATTCTGCTATGACAGAGGCTCATCTGGCTCATCTGGACCAAGGATCATTAGAATCCATAAGAATTTCCTTTTATGATTCAGCTCCAAATTGGAAAAAACAATTTCGTTTCAGAACTCCCCTTGTGAGGTCCAGAGATCAAGCACTTTCCCAAACGGGAACAATGATTCATTGTGAGGTTCAGGCAGCTCCCAGAGCATCCCGTCATCTCCCTGAAGTGTAAATGGCATCTTCATAATCTGGGGGACTTTGCGTCTGAGCCCGGCTAGAGAGGATTGAGCCCTTCTGCAAGGATAACGGGAAGAGAGCTGTTAAGAGGCAGGATCGTTGCCTCCCATTAGGGTGAGCGGTTCCCATAAACACACAGACACAGCTGAGCTTTGAAGCAGCGCAAAGTGGCTGGTCTCTGCGTTTGTCACAAGGAGCCCCGAGGCTGGGCGCTCTGCCCAGTCTCGTTTCAGTGAGGCACGTTTGTGCCCCGTGTGACTTTGCTGTGCTTGGTCTGGGCTAGTGTGGACTTGGACAACAGCAGATACGCACGGAGGTTCTGGGCCCGTCTCGCTCCTGGCCTGCCCAGTTGCCTAGAGAAGGCCAGTACCTCTCCTGGGACTGAAAGGAAAGTTCAAGAAGCCTTTATCTGAGTGTGAGTACAACAACTGCTGCTGGGCGGTAGAATACACCACCTAAGAATAAACACTCTCGTAGCCACCAGTGGCCAAAGAAGGAGACAGATGCATTAGGCTGTGGATGGTATAACCAGAGGCACTAAGATGAATGGGTCTCTGTTAAGGTGTCACTCAAATTAAATTAACAAGTAAATAAAGTTTCCCGAGTGCTTTCTTCCCCAAAGTTTACTCAGAAATAGGAGTTAGATTTCGCTGATTCCCTTGTTGTCATTTATTAAAATAAGCATAAGATTTTTAGTATTCTTCTAGTTAGTAATATTAATTTATAGCTTCCCAACTGGTGATCTATAATGGATTACAGGTGTGCCAACATATTGATCCCTCCGGCTGATGGCACAGGATCTCTGCTGACCATGAGCAGTTTCATCGGTTTAACCAGTTCACTTCGATTTATCCTCTTCTAAGTGAGCCACAAAATGAAAAACTTGAGAATGGCAAACCTTCAGAACTGCACTCCTATATTAACAGCTCAGTTTCTGTGTGGCTGGGACACGTGGTAAATGCTATCTAGTTAGAAAGAGACTTTATTTTTTTTTTAAGAGAGATTTCTGGATAGGGTGCATGCATTTGCCGGAGACACAGAGAGACAGAAAGCGAGAAATCAGCCCCCAGGAGGGATGGCCACGCTGCAATCCCTTCTTCTCCATTTTCCTCTTGGGATCTTGGGCACACATGTACATGAGCCCTGCGTGAGGTTTAAACCACCAGGTCTGGGACTTGAACTTTTGACTATGTGGAGTCCAGTGACATGGTCATTATGCCATCTGCTGGTCCCAAGAAATTAATTCTTACATGTTGTATTCTTTTTGCCAGTGTTTTGTCCGTTGCCCTGAAACATGCCAGTCACATATGTGTGTGCACCGAAAAGCTTGAGAAGAGAATGAAGGAGAAGGGATTGCAGCACTGCCATCCCCACTGGGAGATGATTTCTTGTTTTCTGTCTCTGTCACTCCAGCGATATAGCTAAAATTTCTCAATAAATAAATAAATAAATAAAAGAGAGAGAGAGACAGCTCTGGGGCAAGTGAGAGCCGGATGAGCACCGAGCAACTCTGTGCTTCGCGGAGGAAAGATAACTAAACATGGGCAAAGGCGATCCTAAGAAGCCTAGAGGCAGCATGTCCTCATACACATTCTTTGTGCAAACTTGCCAGGAGGAACACAAGTAGTAGCACCCAGATGCTTCAGTCAGCTTCTAGAGTTTTCTAAGTGCTCAGAGAGGTGGAAGACCATGTCTGCTAAAGAGAAAGGAAAAGTTTGAAGATAGGGCAAAGGCGGACAAGGCCCGTTATGAAAGAGAAATGAAAACCTATATCCCTCCTAAAGGGGAAACAAAAATGAAGTTCAAGATCCCAATGCACCCAAGAGGCCTCCTTCAGCCTTTTTCTTGTTTTGTTCTGAATATCACCCAAAAATCAAAGAAGAACATCCTGGCCTACCCATTGGTGATGTTGCAAAGAAACTGGGAGAGATGTGGAATAACACTGCTGCAGATGATGAACAGCCTTAGGAAAAGAAGGCTGCTAAGCTGAAGGAAAAATACCGAAAGGATATTGCTGCATACCGAGCTAAAGGAAAGCCTGATGCAGCAAAAAAGGGAGTTGTCAAGGCTGAAAAGAGCAAGAAGAAGGAGGAGGAGGAAGACAAGGAAGATGAAGAAGATGAGGAAGAAGAGGAAGATGAAGAGGAAGATAGAGGATGAAGATGACAATGATAAATAAGTTGGTTCTAGCGCAGTTTTTTTCCCCTTCTCTATAAAGCACTTAACCCCCAACCCCAAAGGAGTGATTTTTTAAAAAAAAAAAAAAAACTGAACTGTAAGGCTGTGTAAGATTTGTTTTTAAACTGTACAGTGTCTTTTTTTGTATAGTTAACACACTACCGAATGCGTCTTTAGATAGCCCTGTCCCGGTGGTAGTTCAATAGCCTCTAATCTGGCCTGGTACAGTATGGGGCTGTAAATTGCAATGCAAGTTTAAAGCAGGTTCTTGTTGGTGCGCAGCACGAATTAGTTATATGTGGGGATGGGAGTTTTTTTCATCTTCAGT